CCCTGTTCATTAGTAAACATCTTTTGGCCCCTTTTTTATTATTGCTTTCTTTTTTGTTTTTTTTATTTTTAAAAAAAAATACAAAATTTATGTTATGCAGGGGATGCTTTTTGTAAAATGGAAATTAAAATAATATCGTGCACTAGTGAAAAAAATTATTAAAACCCCCCATTTTAAAGTGTATTGGAGTTTTGGGGGGGTTTTTTATTTACTCTTGAACTTTGGGTTTAAAAATCAAAACTTTTTGGGCTACTTTGAGCTCGGGTTTCAAGGTCGTTTTCACGAAAAAGGGAAATGAAATTTAATCTCTATTTCTGTTTTTTTTTTCCCTTTTTTTTCCCCAAAGCCCATGAAAACGCAAATAAAAACGAAAAATATATACAAAATTTTAAAACCCTAAAATTCGGCTTTTTTTTCCCAAAAAAACGTTCAGGGTTTTTTTTTTCATTAGAAATTTGTGTGCTGCGGGAAATTTTTTTTTATGTGGTGCACACTACCCCCACGACCCTTTCTCTCACTTTGGGGGCCCTCCCAGCTTTCTCCCATTTGTTTGAACCCGCTAGGGAAATTTTTGAGTATATATACGTCAGAAACATTGGCTCGTAAGACGTATTTATACGTCGAAAAAGTTCAAAGGGGGTTTAAAAATATTCCAACCCTCTTCAACCCCCCCCCTACTCTTTGCCTAGCCCCCTTTCTGCCCAAAAGTCGTTATATTCTCGGGCCCCAATTTTCCCCCTTTCCCCTTTGTTTAACCTTTCACCTCCCCCTTACTTGTTTTTGCCACCCTTTCCCCTTTTCCCATCTACCCCTTCTTAACTGGTATACAACTAAAAAAAGATCTGTTTTATCAGTTGCCCTCTATTTAAAAATTTTACATCCTGGGGCATTCCCCTCAACCTTTTATCCCAAAAACATAAACTTTCAAAAATTTCTTTTTATTACGTGCTACATAAAACCTTGTATATTTATTTATCCTCTTTTTTATTATATATTTTTAAAATTTTTAAAAATATTTATATATAAATATTTTATATATTGTATATATTAAAAAAATATATATTTAAATATTTATTTAAAATTTATATAATATAAATTTTTATATATATTTTTTATAATAAATATATATATTTAAATATGATATATTTAAAATTTTTTATATAAATATATATAAAATTAAATTTAATAATAATTTTAAAAAATATATATATAAAAAATATATATTAAATATAATATATATTTTAAAAATTTAATTTTTAAATATATATATAAAAATTTGGAAAATATATATAGAAAATTAAATAAAATTTTTTATAATATAAAAATATAAACATTATTATATATATATAAATATATATAATATTAAATTTATAAAAATTTTATATATATATTATATATATTTTATAATATATATATTTTAATTTATATATTTTAATTTTTATTATATATATATATATATAAGGGAAAAATATAGAAATATATAGAAATATATAGAAAAATTAGAAATATATAGAAAAAAATTTTTTGAAATATATAGAAATATTAGAAATATATAAAAAAAATATTTATATATTATAAATATATTTTAAAATAAATAAATTTATATAAAATATATATATATAAATATAATAATATATATATTATATTTAAAAATATATATTAAAAATATTTAAAAATATTTTTATTTATTAAAAATATATTTGTAGTTTAATGGTTTTAGAGAAAAACCGACTGTGATAAAAATTTGACACATGTGCAATCTTTGGGGATTTTTTATTTAGGAAACGTTTCGCCACACGTGGCTTCCTCCGTCCAATTTCAAAAAAGGGGAATCTTGAAGAAAAAGGAGGGAATGAGGTAATCAGTCCCTCAACCTTGAGGGATGTGGTCAGTCCATCAAACTTGAAAAAGAATACGGCATTTGTTTTTGGGGAAGGGCTTATAAAAAACCCTTGGCAGGAGGGGGTGCAGAAGTATAGGTTTGTGTAACATTTGGGGTTTAATGTTGAAGTAGGTCGGGGCCCCAAAAATTAGGGGAAGCCTTTTTCTTGGGGTTTATTGACAGCTTTTTTTAAGGTTAAGGTTTCCTTTAAATTTATTGGAAATTGAGCTGTTTCCTAAAAACAGTCATTTGAAAGCATTTTTTTTTTATGGAGACATCAAGTAGGGAACAGGATGAAATTTTGGGGCCATCTGTGGGGCCCGCATTTTCCCTTTGATCATTTGACGTTAAACTCGTTTTACATCAATTTTGCTTAAAGAATGTTTTTCCCCTTTTCTCGAGTCCCTTTCCCGGGTTTTGTATGATCCAGATGGAGTGATGTTTTTGGGAAAGGGGACAGCCAGAAAATGAAGTTGCTGCTTTTTTGCCCCCTTTTTTGTGGCAAAAAGTTGTTTCAAGCTGTCCCGAAGTGGAACCAAGTGTGGTATTTTTTACAAAATTGGCCTTTTTACATAACAGTAAGGCCCAAAACCAAACCCCCCTATGTTGAGGCTCTGCTGAAAGGGGCAGATAATCCAGGGTGGGGGCCCGGCGGGGAGATGAGACGTCTTGCTCTTTTTCTTCTTGTCAAGCAGGGCGCAGGGTGGGGAGGGGGGGGCAGGGAAAAAAAAGAAAGTGGAGAATTTCTCAAAGGTTTTTTGAGCGTACTTTTGCCTGTACAGGATCTTGCAACCCCCACTGTCAAGCAGAATGCGAAAATAAGGCGGAAAAGGGTGTAAGCTTCCTGGCTGCCCTTTTTTGCAAAAATTTTCAACATGGTTCTTTTATGGTTGGGTTTTGGGTTTAAAATTTTACCCCAAAAGGTTTTTAACTTCTTTTTCCAGGGGGCCAACATCGTTTCCCCTTCATCCTTTTTTACTGCACCCGCATTACCTTTATGGGGCCCAGAAAACAATCATAAAATTTTCGTTTTTTTTAAAGGGGCAAATTTTTTACTTGCCCTCTTTTTCCCCAAAACTGATATAAACTCTCAGCTGGTGATTTTATGTGTTGAGCGCTGGCATTTCTTCTTTGGGGTAAGTTTAAGGTTTTAGGTTTCATTTGTCTGCATATGCCCTGTGGTTTTGGGGGTGAGGGTGAAAAAGGTCGTTGAATTAGAATTTTCCCTAACAGTGGACCCAAACACCCCTTCCTTGTGGAACGCTTGCCCCAAAAGGATGCCTTGTGATTTTTGTTCCCTTGGGGACTACATTAGAGAAACTTCCATGAAAGGGAATCATGGGGGAGGGCATAGCGTAGAGCCTGCAATTCCCCCGGGCTTGAAATTTTTCTAAGAGGGCCCCGGGGGGGCCCCCCCCGGCGAAAGCGCCGGGATTGGCCGGGGACCAAAGGCTTTTACTTTGGGGGAAAATTTTTTTTATTTAGTGGAATGGGGGCACCGGGGAGAGGGAAAAACCAGAAACTCACCCCCCCCCCTTTCCCCCCCAAAAAAAATTTTTTTTTTTTAATTCCCCCCCCCCCTTTCCCCCCCCCAATTCCTCAATTTTTCTTCCCTTCCCCCCCCTTTAAACAATCCCATTTTTAAACACCCCCCCATTATTCCCCCCTTCTAATTTTCTCTTCTCTATCTTTTCTCTCTCTCTCTCTCTCTCAATCTCTCTCTTCTCTCTCTCTCTCTCTCTCTCTCTCTCAAATTTTCTCTCTCTCTCTTTTCTTCAAAAACTCTCTCCTCTTTTCTCTCTCTTTTCTCTCTCTCTCAATCTCTCTTTTTCTCCAAACTCTCTCTCTCTCTCTCTCTCTCTCAATCTCTCTCTCTCTCTTTTAATCTCTCTCTCTCTCTCCCCTCTCTCTCAACTCTCTCTCTCTCTCTCTCTCTCAATCTCTCTCTCTCTCTCAATTTTCTCTCTCTCCTCTCTCCTCTCTCTCAATCTCTCTTCTTTTTCTCTCTCTCTCTCTCTCTCCTAATCTCTCTCTCTCTCTCCAATCTCTCTTTCTCTCTTTTATTCTCTTCTCTCTTTTTTTTCTCTCTTTTTCTCCTTCCCTCTCTCTCTCTCTCTCAAACTCTCTCTCTCTCTCTCTCTCTCTTTTTCTCTCAAAACTCTTCTCTCTTCTAAACCACTCTCTTTTCTTTTTAAACCTCTATCCTTTCTTCTTTTCCTCTCTCTCAATTTTCCCCTCTCTTTTTCTCTCAAACTTTTTCTTCTCCCCCTCTCCAAAACTTCTCTCTCTCTCAATCTCTCTCTCTCAATCTCTCTCTCTCTCTCAATCTCTCTCTCTCTCAATCTCAATCTCAATCTCAATCTCACTCTCTCTCTCTCTCTCTCTCTCTCTCTCTCTCTCCAGTGAGTACATGTTCAAGAGTAAAGTGTTCCAGTAATTTAAATACTTTACTGGCTCTATGTGGGCCATAAACAATCTCAATTTTTTCAAGCTCTGATATTCTCCTGCCTTGAACAGGGCCATCAACACTGAGGGAACACTAGCAATTTGACAAGTGTCACTACTGGCATTATTTCCCTTGTTTTGAAAGTTCTCATTATCCACCCCATCATCCTCATGGCTGTCATGATTTTTGTCTTATTATGTTCTTTAAAAGAAAGGCAAGCAGACATAATTATTCCCAAGTCTGTCCTGTGTTCCTTTCATTCTATTTGGTGACCCTCTCGAGTTTTGTATATAGTGTTCCTTTTGAGTTCTTCATTCTATACAGTAGGCTTCTTCAGTCGAATACAGATGAGGCAACAGAAACAGTAGAGATATAAAGATGATATAATCAGTCCATCACCTTCGAAGACAAATCTTGAGATGGTCAGTCCCTCAACCAGAAAGTCCTGCTCCATAGTCTCCATCATCTTTACATCTCTACTGCAGATGCTGCCTTTGTATTCGACTGAAGAAGCCTACTGTATAGATGAAATGTTTCATAATAAAGATACTTAACTGTTGCATCAGTGTCTTTTCAACTTGTCAAAATTGTACACTATTATCATAATCACTCTGCACAACCTTGTTGATTCTCTCACACACAGAAACACATGAAGGTTACAAGTTAGAGTACCTGTATATTAATTATGGAGACATGAGGCTTGGGTAGAACTGGTGGGTACCGGCTGCCCTTGCAGAGAATGCTGCGTACATTGCCCTGAGTCTCGTTCACCCCCAACAGGAAGTAGTGATCGCTCTTCCCACGAGTCTGGTACAATCAAATTGGTTAATTAGACTAAGATAACAGACAGTAACGTTAGAAATCAGTGGATTTTCAGATTTCTTCTCAAAGACTAATTATCCACATCTAACCAGTACTCATTCAAAATTTCTGCTTTCTAATGCATTACACAGGGTCAATTTCTGAACATTTTGTGTATACAAAAAAAAAAAAAAAGTTGAAGTCACAGAAACATCTTCAAAGATAGATGCTACATGTCTGAGAGAGGCATCTCAGTGAACACTCTCTTGGTAACGCTCAAATCTCATAAAAAGTGACACATGAGGACAGGTTCCTCGGCCCCCTCTCGTATATATACTGGCTCCCTTCCCTTCATGCTTCTGTGTGACTAGTTAATGGTCAAGTCAGACAAACATTTTAAGTGTCTTTCATATGCAGATTATTGTGTATCTACAATTAATGTTTAACAACACTTTCCTATTTAATTCTCTATAGTAAATTTCCTTTTTTTAATGCTGTCATACACTGTACTGGACGAAGGAAGTGCAACACTCACGTGTTTCTTAGTGTCGAGAATATTTGTCCAGTTATATCCATACTTGAAGTGCATGATGCGCACAACGCCAGTACTGTCCATAATAACTGGAGTACCTTCATCTGAGAAGCCTGCCCAAGCTAGGAAGGACCGAGGTGAGAGAGGAACAGGACATGACACAGGCACTGGGTGACGACCACCACTCACGTTTAGTACAATGCTTTCCAAGTGCTGGTCTCCACATACACCTACAAAACACAACAAAAAGTACTGATATTTTGAATTTCAACTGTAGTACCGGCAACCTTCTGGCAAGACAGTGATGGAGTGTGTGATGATTAAAGTGTTTCTTCTTTTTTTGGGTCACCCTATCTAAGTGAGAGACAGCCAGTTTGTTGGGGAAAAAAACTATACAGTGGACCCCGCATACCGATTTTAATCCGTGCAAGAGGGCTCATTGTTATGCGAAATGATCGGTATGCGAATGAATTTTCCCCATAAGAAATAATGGAAATCAAATTAATCCGTGCAAGACACCCAAAAGTATGAAAAAAAATTTTTTTACCACATGAAATGTTAATTTTAATACACACAAACTGAAAAAGGCATGCACAATTACATGACACTTACTTTTATTGAAGATCTGGTGATGATTGATGGGATGGGAGGAGGGGGGGGAGGGTGTTAGTGTTTAGAAGGGGAATCCCCTTCCATTAAGACTTGAGGTGTCGAGTCCTTTTCTGGGGTTACTTCCCTTCTTCTTTTAATGCCACTAGGACCAGCTTCAGAGTCACTGGACTTCTTTCGCACAACATATCTGTCCACAGTGGCCTGTACCTCTCGTTCCTTTATGACTTCCCTAAAGTGTTTCACAACATTGTCAGTGTACAGGTTGCCAACACGGCTTGCAATAGCTGTGTGAGGGTGATTTTCATCCATGAAGGTTTGCACTTCAAGCCACTTTGCACAGATTTCCTTAATCTTTGTAGTAGGCAACTTCTTCAATTTCTCTCTCCCCTCCTCTGAACCAGTTTCCTTAGGTCTGGCCTCTTGCTCTTGAAGTTGATCTATCAGCTCATCAGTGGTTAGTTCTTCATTGTCCTCCTCCACCAACTCTTCCACATCATCCCCACTAACCTCCAACCCCAAGGACTTTCTCCCAATGCCACAATGGATTCCTCAACTGGCATAATCCTCTCAGGGTTAGCCTCAAACCCTTCAAAATCCCTTTTTGTCTACACATTCTGGCCACAGTTTCTTCCAAGCAGAGTTCAAGGTCTTCTTAGTCACTCCCTCCCAAGCCTTACCTATAAGGTTTACACAATTGAGGATATTAAAGTGCTCTCTCCAAAACTCTCTTAGAGTCAGTTGAGTTTCTGAGGTCACTACAAAGCACCTTTCAAAACAGAGCTTTTGTGTACAGTTTTTTGAAGTTTGCAATAACCTGCTGGTCCATGGGCTGCAGGAGAGGAGTGGTATTAGGAGGCAAAAACTTCACCCTTAATGAATTTCATGTCCCCATAAAGTCGCTCTGCCACGTCTGTAGGATGACCAGGGGCATTGTCTAACACCAGGAGGCACTTAAGTTCTAATTTCTTTTCAGTTAGGTAATCTTTCACATTGGGGGCAAATGCATGGTGTAACCAGTCATAGAAAAAGTCCCTAGTGACCCATGCCTTACTGTTGCCTCCACAGCACACACACAAATTCTCCTAAGGACATTCTTTTGCCTGAACGGTCTGGGAGTTTCAGAGTGATACACTAATAAAGGCTTCACTTTGCAATCACCAGTAGCATTGGAACACATCAACAAAGTAAGCCTCTCTTTCATAGGCTTATGTCCTGGGAGTGCCTTTTCCTCCTCAGTAATGTAGGTCCTGCTTGGCATTTTCTTCCAAAACAGGCCTGTTTCATCACAATTAAACACTTGTTCAGGTTTCAGTCCTTCACTGTCTATGTACTTCTTGAATTTCTGCACATATTTTTCAGCTGCGTTGTGGTCCGAACTGGCAGCCTCACCATGCCTTATCACACTATGTATGCCACTACGCTTCTTAAATCTCTCAAACCAACCTTTGCTGGCCTTAAATTCACTCACATCAGCACTAGTTGCAGGCATTTGTTTAATTAAATCCTCATGCAACTTCCTAGCCTCTTCGCTTATGATCGCTTGAGAGACGCTATCTCCTGCTAGCTGTTTTTCATTTATCCACACCAATAAGAGTCTCTCAACATCTTCCATCACTTGCGATCTTTGTTTCGAAAACACAGTTAAACCTTTGGCAAGAACAGCTTCCTTGATTGCCTATCTGGTGCCCACAATAGTAGCGATGGTTGATTGGGGTTTCTTGTACAACCTGGCCAGGTCGGCGATACGCACTCCACTTTCATACTTATCAATGATCTCTTTCTTCATCTCTATTGGAATTCTCACCCTTATTGCTGTAGGATTGGCACTAGAAGCTTTCTTGGGGCCCATGGTCACTTATTTTGCAGATAAAATCACCAAAAACACTGTAATAATACAAAATATTCCGATTGTATGCTTGGATGTTACCGCGGAGGCTGGCTGGTAAACAATGGCACGGGCGGCACATGTGAGGCTGGCTGAGGGCGCACATTGGACGCGTCTCGGACGAACAGCGGTGAGCGGGTTTTTAAGCGGTATGCGAGGCAAAATTTTTGCGATTAAAGCAAGCGGTATGCGGATTAATCGTTATGTGATGCCAACGGTATGCGGGGGTTCACTGTACATAGATATCCTCGCTTTACGATGGTTCGACTTACAATATTTTGACTTTGTGAAGTTAATGTTAGCTGTATGCTTGACAACATTGTTCAGGTCAGGTGTGCTTTCCAGTGGCTCCATTATTGGTGAATATCTGTACAACATATCACTACATGTACTGTACTGAATCATCCTTCAGTAATAAAGTCTAAGAACTGCTAAACTTTTTTTGTACAGAGGACCCCCGCATACCGTTGGCATCACATAACGTTTAATCCGCATACCGCTCGCTTTTATCGCAAAAATTTTGCCTCGCATACCGCTCAAAAACCCGCTCACCGCTGTTTGTCCGAGACGCGTCTAATGTGCGCCCTTAGCCAGCCTCACATGTGCCGCCGGTGGAATTGTTTACCAGCCAGCCTCCGCGGTAACATCCAAGCATACAATCGGAACATTTCGTATTATTACAGTGTTTTTGGTGATTTTATCTGCAAAATAAGTGACCATGGGCCCCAAGAAAGCTTCTAGTGCCAACCCTACAGCAATAAGGGTGAGAATTACTATAGAGATGAAGAAAGAGATCATTGATAAGTATGAAAGTGGAGTGCGTGTCGCCGACCTGGCCAGGTTGTACAAGAAACCCAAACAACCATCGCTACTATTGTGGGCAACAGAAAGGCAATCAAGGAAGCTGTTCTTGCCAAAGGTTTAACTGTGTTTTCGAAACAGAGATCGCAAGTGATGGAAGATGTTGAGAGACTCTTATTGGTGTGGATAAATGAAAAACAGCTAGCAGGAGATAGCGTCTCTCAAGCGATCATAAGCGAAAAGGCTAGGAAGTTGCATGAGGATTTAATTAAAAAAATGCCTGCAACTAGTGATGATGTGAGTGAATTTAAGGCAAGCAAAGGTTGGTTTGAGAGATTTAAGAAGCGTAGTGGCATACATAGTGTGATAAGGCATGGTGAGGCTGCCAGTTCGGACCACAAAGCAGCTGAAAAATATGTGCAGGAATTCAAGGAGTACATAGACAGTGAAGGACTGAAACCTGAACAAGTGTTTAATTGTGATGAAACAGGCCTGTTTTGGAAGAAAATGCCAAGCAGGGCCTACATTACTGAGGAGGAAAAGGCACTCCCAGGACATAAGCCTATGAAAGAGAGGCTTACTTTGTTGATGTGTTCCAATGCTACTGGTGATTGCAAAGTGAAGCCTTTATTAGTGTATCACTCTGAAACTCCCAGACCGTTCAGGCAAAAGAATGTCCTCAAGGAGAATTTGTGTGTGCTGTGGAGGGCAAACAGTAAGGCATGGGTCACTAGGGACTTTTTCTATGACTGGTTACACCATGCATTTGCCCCCAATGTGAAAGATTACCTAACTGAAAAGAAATTAGAACTTAAGTGCCTCCTGGTGTTAGACAATGCCCCTGGTCATCCTACAGACGTGGCAGAGCGACTTTATGGGGACATGAAATTCATTAAGGTGAAGTTTTTGCCTCCTAATACCACTCCTCTCCTGCAGCCCATGGACCAGCAGGTTATTGCAAACTTCAAAAACTGTACACAAAAGCTCTGTTTGAAAGGTGCTTTGTAGTGACCTCAGAAACTCAACTGACTCTAAGAGAGTTTTGGAGAGAGCACTTTAATATCCTCAATTGTGTAAACCTTATAGGTAAGGCTTGGGAGGGAGTGACTAAGAAGACCTTGATCTCTGCTTGGAAGAAACTGTGGCCAGAATGTGTAGACAAAAGGGATTTTGAAGGGGTTTTAGGCTAACCCTGAGAGGATTATGCCAGTTGAGGAATCCATTGTGGCATTGGGAAAGTCCTTGGGGTTGGAGGTTAGTGGGGAGGATGTGGAAGAGTTGGTGGAGGAGGACAATGAAGAACTAACCACTGATGAGCTGATAGATCAACTTCAACAGCAAGAGGCCAGACCTAAGGAAACTGGTTCAGAGGAGGGGAGAGAGAAATTGAAGAAGTTGCCTACTACAAAGATTAAGGAAATCTGTGCAAAGTGGCTTGAAGTGCAAACCTTCATGGATGAAAAATCACCCTCACACAGCTATTGCAAGCCGTGTTGGCAACCTGTACACTGACAATGTTGTGAAACACTTTAGGGAAGTCATAAAGGAACGAGAGGTACAGGCCACTATGGACAGATATGTTGTGCGAAAGAAGTCCAGTGACTCTGAAGCTGGTCCTAGTGGCATTAAAAGAAGAAGGGAAGTAACCCCAGAAAAGGACTCGACACCTCAAGTCTTAATGGAAGGGGATTCCCCTTCTAAACACTAACACTCTCTCTCCCCTCTTCCCATCCCATCAATCATCACCAGATCTTCAATAAAGGTAAGTGTCATGTAACTGTGCATGCCTTTTTCAGTTTGTGTGTATTAAAATTAACATTTCATGTGGTAAATTTTTTTTTTTTCATACTTTTGGGTGTCTTGCACGGATTAATTTGATTTCCATTATTTCTTATGGGGAAAATTCATTCGCATACCGATCATTTCGCATAACAATGAGCCCTCTTGCACGGATTAAAATCGCTATGCGGGGGTCCACTGTACTGTATAGTACTGTACATTTATTGATGGGAAAAACTTTCAATACTGGTATTTAGTTACAGTCCTTATTTTATTTACTTTCTCAATGACAGCAGTTATTTATTTACTTATTTATCATATACAGCCTCTCCTCACTTAATGATGGAGTTCTGTTTCTAAGACCACGTTGGTAAAGGAACTCGTCGCTAAGCAAGGAGCATACTATACAGTGGAACCTCAAATTTCAAACTTAATCCGTTCCATGAGCTAGTTCTAAATTCGAAAAGTTTGAAAAGTGAAGCAATATTTCCCATAAGAAATAATGGAAATACAATTAATCCATTCCAGAAACCCAAAAATATTCACAAAAAAAATAAAATTACATTTTATAGTGATTAATTATAGTTTTACATACACACAACAAATATAGTGTACAATTATTAATAAATTTAAACAAACACATCAAATAACATTTTTACTTACCTTTAATGAAGATTGGTGATGGCATCTTGAAGATAGGGAGGAGGAGAGAGGGAGTAGGGGTTAGTGTTTGGAAGGAGAATCCCCCTCCATGAGGACATTAGGTATCAAAGCCCTCTCTGGGGTTACTTTCCTTCTTTGTCTGTTAATGCCACTAGGACCAGCTTGAGAGTCACTGGACCTCTGTCTCACAAAATAACTATCCACAGACTTCTGTTTCTGGTGCCTCTTTAAGATTTCCCTAAAATGGGACATGGTTCTGTCATTGAACTTCTTGCAAAGATGGCTTGTTTCAGCTTGCTCAGGGTGGTACTTCTGCACAAATATTTGGACATCATTCCACTTGGCACAAATCTCCTTAATCTTTGAAGAAGGCACCTCATCCACTCCCTCTTCCTCCGCCTCTGAAGCAAGGTCCTCAGCTGTGGTCTGATGCTGTTCCAGATGAAGCTCTTCCAGCCCTTGAGTGGTTAGCTCTTCCATGTGGTCCTCCACATCCTCGCCACTCGCCTCCAGCCCCAGGGTGTTCCCCAATGCCACAATAGAGTCCACAACAGGCAAAGGGTCAGCTGGGTCAGGGACAGGGTCAGGGTCAGCCTCAAACCCTTCTTTTGGATACAATCTGGCCACAATTGTCTCCAAGAAGAGTTCGAAGTCCTGGAAGTCACTCCCTCCCAAGCCTTACCTATAAGGCTTATGGAGCTGTAGATATTGGATTGATTCCTCCAGAACTCTCTTAGGGTCAATTTAATGTCTTGTTTGTCCCATACATCCTGGCAAGCTCAACAAGTCTCACACCACTCTCATACTTCTGTATTATTTCCTTCTTCACATCTATGGTGTTTCTCACTTTCTTTACCACAGGGGTGTACCACTAGCAAGTTTCTTTGGGCCCATGGTAACTTATTTCACAGTCCCACAAACACTAAACACAATGAAATAATCGTAAAATGTTTGAATGAGAGTGCAGGTTAGTGTTCACTCAAGCATCAACAAAACCAGACTGGCTCACAGCGCCTGAGCGGGGACGCAGACAGGGCGGGCTGGCAGACAGGCCCAGTACCCGGCGGTTCGAAAAAAACGGCGAGTTCGATAATGGGGACAAAGTTGGCTTGAAAAAAGCAGTCGATTCTCGAAGAGTTCGATAAGTAATATGTTCGAAATTTGAGGTTCCACTGTAATAGTAGCGGGTTTGTGTCACCCATCTCTGATATAGTTTTAACGTCATCTTTGCACCATTTATAACATTTTTAGTATAATTTTAAATGTTCATACAATAGTGTACTGTACATAGTAATAAACAGAATAGAGAAAATCAGCTCTAATAAACATCATTTAGGTATGCATACTGGTCAGAGAACCCATCGTAAGTCTGAGTTGTCAGTAAATGAGTACAGCACTAAGTGGTAAGTAGGTAGTAGACTCGCCGGTATAATCTCCCGGCCTGGGCCTTTTCCAAGAGGTGGCCCGGCCTTGACTCCCTGTCATGGAAATGTCTCAGACCAATGTCTGCCATGGGAGGAGGTACTCGTACCTCCTCATCTGGGACGAGCTGTCCTCCTGTCATTCCCCACTCCACAGGGCTTGGAGGGAGAAGCTAGGCACCTTGGGCTGCCACAAACCCCACCCACACTGGGCTCAAAGGGCATGGCAGCTACATAGCAGCAGACAATGTCAGGAGGTGCAAAGGCAGCAAGCACTACAGAATCCTTTTAGTCACCCCAGCTTTGGGCTGTAACCGAAGCACTGGGAAGCTCAAGAATGCCTCTTGCTGTGTGTGTTGCTGCTGCTACTTCACTTGTCTGTTGCACTCTCTGTCATCACTAAGAGAGGAGAGGCTGTATTTATATTCGACATACGATATTTTTAGTTTACAATGGGTTCATCCATATGTAACCCCATCGTATGTCAAGTATCACCTGTAAACATCATCAACTGTTCAACACCAAGGTAGGATAACCAAAGAAGAAACCACAGTCACCATCACTCTTTCAACTGCTATCTATACACGAGTAAAATACTGCAACTGCTTGGCCAACTAGGCTGTTCCTAACAGCAACTTCACCCTATGTATATTAATTTGCTTGACACTGTGTCTACTTAAAAATTTATTAGCATCCACTGGTTTAACATGGTATACAACTGACAGTATAACAATATACCTGTGACTGGTCTAACATGGTCTACAACTGATAGTATAACAATATACCTGTGACTGGTCTAACATGGTCTACAACTGATAGTATAACAATATACCTGTGACTAGTCTTGAGTGTTTCCCTGTAGGAATAAGACATGTATGCAACAAGACAGACAGACAGGCACACACATGCCTGCCCATGCACAAGCACAAAAAAAAAAAAAATAGAAAACCAAGGTTCAAGTTAGACAACCCACAACAGTGATAAAAATCGCACTTACCCATGCCACCATGATAAACAAGCATGATCTGATCTTCAAATCCAGCTAAACACACAACTGGTCCAGGGATAGCCAGGATGTCTCTTTGGATGCCTGACGTGGAGAAGATGCGCAGGTTCCTTCGATCGGTAGCAACGGCAAGCCAGCCAGATCCCAGACACACAGCCTGGATGTCTTCCTCAGGCAAATCAACATACCACTCCTTGTTGGTACCCCAGCCAGAGAAGTGGTGCACTACCAGTTTACTAGGCGACACATTAAATTTGAATAACTTAGTTCAAAATTCAAAAAACATCATTTACATAAATTAGAAATAATAATAATAACAATAGGAGTCAGAGGTTTCAGATTACTAAAGATAAATCACAAGCAAGAGTAGTCAAGGACTCCCGGGTCACCTTCCACACAACCTAAAGATGTATTCCAGAGAATGCCATACCTCCAACTAGGCCACCACAGATGTTGCAGAAAAAGCTATACAAACTGACTTTATATCCACAATGTGTACATTTAACAGAAACAGGGAACAGTGGAGAACCCTTAATTCTGATTTTGAACATAATGGTACATCAAACTCTTACAAAGATCCTATATAGAGTGCAATTTCTTTTTGTAAATGCAACTGCAAAGAGCACATCTAAAACCGAATACCACACAGGCCTGTCAATGCACTTATTAAATTTTGAATTTAATTCAACAGTTCATATCATAAAGGACTTCCCGCGTGTTTGGCATATACAGTTTCAATTGTTTAAAAAAACTGCGCTATATACAGAAGCTATATAAGAGAGCTCAATATAAATTAAAATTGCCCAATATATACATTAGGTTATTTAAGTAGCAGCAGAGAGTGACACCTGGTGGGAGACAGACATCTGTGGGTACCACAGGAGAGCAATGATAAATGACTACATCAAGACTCTTAAGTGCAGAACCATACTCTAGCTTGGAGTTTACAACACATGGCAATAGTCTTGTGCTCATACGTCAAGATTAACCAAGCAGGTGAGGCGGTGGAAGGAGAGTCAGACCACAAGGAAAGACAACTCTATACTCATCATGTGCACATTTCATCATTAACCAACTGACTCCTAATATTTCTTTCTCTAATTTCATACCTTCATTAACAAAAAAGTACAGCTTCTCCTCACTTAGCGATGTACTCGTTTACCGACGACTCGGACTTACGACGGGCTCTCTGACCAGTGTGCATACCTAAATAATGTACATTAAAGCTGATTTCCTCTAGCCTGCTTATTACAATATACAGTACACTGCTGCATAAACATTTAAAAATATACCAGAAATGTTATAAATCATGCATAGGTGACATGAAAACAATATCAAAGATGACTGACACAAATCCACTACCATCATAATATGCTTCTCATTTAGTGACGAATTCATTTACCAACATGGTCTTAGGAATGGAACCCCGTCAGTTAGCAAGGAGAGGCTGTTTATGTTAAATCAATCCACACCCTTTCACTAACTTTTTTTAATATGCTGGCCATTTCCCACCAAGGCAGGATGACCCAGAAAAGAAGAAATTCTTTCATCACTCAATTTATCACTGTCTTGCCAGAGGCATGTCAATACTACAGTTCAAAAACTGCAAAATATCTCTATATTTTTTTTTTTTTTTCCAACAAGTCGGCCGTCTCCCACCGAGGCAGGGTGACCCAAAAAAAAAAAGAAAGAAAATCCCCAAAAAGAAAATACTTTCATCATCATTCAACACTTTCACCACACTTGCACATTATCACTGTTTTTGCAGAGGTGCTCAGAATACAACAGTCTAGAAGCATACACATATAAAGATACACAACATATCCCTCCAAACTGCCAATATCCCAAACCCCTCCTTTAAAGTGCAGGCATTGTACTTCCCATTTCCAGGACTCAAGTCAGACTATATGAAAATAACCGGTTTCCCTGAATCCCTTCACTAAATATTACCCTGCTCACACTCCAACAGATCGTCAGGTCCCAAGTACCATTCGTCTCCATTCACTCCTATCTAACACGCTCACGCACGCTTGCTGGAAGTCCAAGCCCCTTGCCCACAAAACCTCCTTTACCCCCTCTCTCCAACCCTTTCGAGGACGACCCCTACCCCGACTTCCTTCCCCTATAGATTTATATGCTTTCCATGTCATTCTACTTTGATCCATTCTCTCTAAATGACCAAACCACCTCAACAACCCCTCTTCTGCCCTCTGACTAATACTTTTATTAACTCCACACCTTCTCCTAATTTCCACACTCCGAATTTTCTGCATAATATTTACACCACACATTGCCCTTAAACAGGACATCTCCACTGCCTCCAACCGTCTCCTCGCTGCTGCATTTACCACCCAAGCTTCACACCCATATAAGAGTGTTGGTACTACTATACTTTCATACATTCCCTTCTTTGCCTCCATAGATAACGTTTTTTTGACTCCACATATACCTCAATGCACCACTCACCTTTTTTCCCTCATCTCAATTCTATGATTAACATCATCCTTCATAAACCCATCCGCCGACACGTCAACTCCCAAGTATCTGAAAACATTCACTTCTTCCATACTCCTCCTCCCCAATTTGATATCCAATTTTTCTTTATCTAAATCATTTGACACCCTCATCACCTTACTCTTTTCTATGTTCACTTTCAACTTTCTACCTTTACACACATTCCCAAACTCATCCACTAACCTTTGCAATTTTTCTTTAGAATCTCCCATAAGCACAGTATCATCAGCAAAAAGTAACTGTGTCAATTCCCATTTTGAATTTGATTCCCCAAAATCTATATATCATTTTATAATATAATTTGTGGAACCCTAGGTAGTAGGCTGGTAGACAGCAACCACCCAGGGAGGTACTACTGTCGTGCCAAGTGAGTGTAAAATGGAAACCTAAATTGTTTCACATGATAGAAAGATTGATGGTGTCTTTTCTATCTCATAAACATGCAGGATAACAGATATATCTTGCTACTCCTACTTACACTTAGGTCACACTATACATGCATGTACATGTATACATATTTACACACCCATCTGCATTTTCTTCTATTTTCTTAATAGTTCTTGTTCTTTATTTCCATTTATCTCCATGGGGAAGTGGAACAGAATTCTTCCTTCCTTAAGCCATGTGTGTCGTATGAGGCGACTAAAATGCCAGGAGCAAGGGGCTAGTAACCCCTTCTCCTATATAAATTACTAAATTTAAAAAGGAAAACTTTAATTTTTCTTTTTAAGTCACCTGCCTTGCTGGAATATGGCTGATTCCATAAAAAAAAAAAAAGAAAAGTGGGAAACGCTAAACCTATATGCCATACAACGCCTGGGAAACGATACAAGGAATAGGAGAGTAGCTCCATTTCCTTGGATTGAGTCCCCACTGGCACCAAGGCACATCTATCAAGGCACCTGAATGTCACATTTATTAGAAAGTTGCAAACACACACAGTTTTCTATTAATAGTACTGTCTTAAATGGGTGTATTCCTAAATGTGTATTACACTGGCCAGTTGGACACATATTGGACGAGTGACATCCTTTGTGTACTCTGGAATATCGGAAAAAATTTAACATTTCTCCTACTTTCAGTCCTGAAAACAATCCAAGTCACCCCTATTTCTGTAATGTATCTTTCATTCTATCAAACGAAACCAAGAAACTGAGACTATCCTAAAAAGAATCGCGGTTACTAGGGAACCAAAGTAGAAAAAGTGTTATGCTCAGATTTCGCACACAAGGCAGGAAAAAAGATCTAATAATTTCATCTATTAACCCTTTCAGGGTCCGTCCCATAGATCTACGGCTTTGCGTTCAGTGTCCAAACCGTAGATCTACGTCATGAGCTCAGCTCACTCTGATAAACTGTGAGTGGTACACTTGGGCCTAGATATGAGAGAATACATCTCTGTGGTATGTGTTCACCATATAAAACAAATCCTGCAGCACACTGTGTATAATGAGAGAAAAAAACTGAAACCAAGATTTTCGATTAAAACAGCAACTTTGCAGTGTTTTTTCGTATGTTTTTTATAGTTGTATTTGCAATTTCTTTTTCTCATTTGATAGAATGGAAGACATATTACAGAAATAGAGATGATTTTGATTGGTTTTAGCACTGGAAATGGCTTGAAACTGAGCTCAAAGTAGCGGAAATGTTAAATTTTTGTCGATGTTCAAAAGTAAACAAACGACCTCACACGTCTAATACACGCCAGCTGGTGGATCTAATACACATTCACAAATGTGGTGATGATATTTATACAATTATTACAATATTGCATAACAGAAAATCTCCTATTTTTTGGTGTGAATAAAAATTCATTATGTAAATAAAAAATAAAAATGGGATTTATTTGTAAAGCCTCAAAACGTAACTAATGAACCGAGGAAATGTTAGTTTAGTGCCAGGAATGCCTACATTGTTTATTCTGGATGCTATTTTGAAATTGGAATATTTTGAACTTTGTGTTAAATTGGCCAAATTACCAATTTCCAATCACTATTTTGTAGTTGAAACAGTTGACTTGGCGATTTCTTGTGCTCAATCGATAGAATAGAAGTAATACTAGTAAAATAGCTAAGAATTTGGTTGACTGGAATGATGTAATTGGCCTAAAATGGAAGTCAAAGTCGGCAAAATCGCCGATTCGTAAATATCGCTGACACATCAAAATTCGCGAGAGCATAATTTCGTCAGTTTTCCATCAAATTTCGTACTTTTGTTTTATTACCTTCGCAAAAAGATTCTCTACCATTTCATAAGAAAAAATAACATTTTTTTTTTTTTGAAAATTCTTGGACACTGGGGCACCACTTCAGATTTGGGCCTTGGACCCTGAAGGGGTTAAAGCAAAAAAAGATAAATACATAAATGAGTCTCACGAGAAAACGACAGAACCTCCTGTAGAGTGAGAAAACTAAAACTTGAGAATAATGACAAAATTCACCAGTGCTTTGTATGGGATGGACAAATTCTAGTAAGAAAAACAAATGTAGGCCGTGTGTACTACATTACAAATGAAAATGAACTGGTAAACTTCCTTCATGATGCAAACATTACAGAGTCTGACTGATATTAGTGACCATATCCTTACTACGTTAGTGTATGTTATTATGTCATTATTGAACAAATCCCTGTACTATCACCTCTTAGACAGTATTTACTACCTCATTATCCCAGGTGTCCCACACAGTTCTTTGTGTGACCCAATTTGTGTTATCTTCCCTGA